AATCTTGCATAATATATATATATATATATATATATATATATACAGCAATAGAAAAAAAATTAAAAGACCACTTGAAAAGACCACTGTAATTTTTTTTTGGCAGAAAATAACAATTGGTCAAAATAACAAATGTGATTGAAAATCAGGGTTATTCCACTAAATATTGATTTCTTAAAGGGATAGTTCACCCAAAAATGAAAATTACCCCATGATTTACTCACCCTCAAGATCATCCTAGGTGTATATGACATTCTTCTTTCAGACAAATACAATGAGAGTTATATTAAATAATGTTCAGGCTAATCCATGCTTTATAATGGGAGTGGATGGTAGCCCAAAATTTGAAGTCCAAAAAAATTTTACCCATCCATTATAAAAGAAGTTCACATGGCTCCGGGGGGTTAATAAAGGCCTTCTGAAGCGAAGTAATGCGTTTTTGTAAGAAAAATATCCATATTTACAACTTTATAAACCTTAATCTCTAACTTCCACTAACTGTCGTACGCGCGTTCATGAGAGAGTGGCGTCCAGCGGATGATGTAGAATGCAGGTGTAGCGTTAGCTCCAATGAGAATATGCTAGTCTCGCGAGAACCAAGTTTTGTTTACAGCAAAGGAAAACCAGTCTCCTCGCGGCTTATATCGAAATCCTCAGACATTTTTCTTTACAAATCCTCATTTTGTTCCTCTAATTCATGACCGGTGTTTTGTTTTTCTCTCTCCGCTGCGCTTCCGCATGTGTCACTTCTCACCGAAGCTTAGGCTACGCCTACGTCATCCGCTGGAACGAGACAAATTGTTTCCTCAGTTCAGTGACTGTTGGAGGAACTGGAGCGCTGGATGAGTTCATTCATCATAGGATCAGATATGCTGGTATTTTGGCTCATTTTGAGTCGGAGTGACTGTCAGTCATCTGAAAGTGAGTTTTGATTGAATAACTTGTGCTGCTTGAGCCACAAACTGTTTCAGACGGTTCAGTCCGATTTGGTGAACTGGTTAATCCAGTTCACCAAAAAGAATTGGTTCAAAAGAATGATTCGCTTGTGAATCGGACATCACTCCGAAACGTTTACATGAGGCTCTGGATTACAAGTAATAATGTTGTAAATAATGTTCAGTTTCTTGCACAGACTGATCGTTTTGCTTCATAAGACCTCAATATATCATCAGGAGTCACAGGTATTCATTTTGTGTTCCTTGATGTGCCTTTTTTATTTTAAAAAATAGGTAGCTGCTGACTTGGATTATATGAATCACCAAGGCCCACGGTTTCAGCTAAAATCTTCTTTACGGTTCTACTGAAGAAAAAAGTCACCTACATCTTGGATGGCCGGAGGGTGAGTAAATTAAAAGCAGATTTTCATTTTTAGGTGAACTATCGCTTTAAAATCGATTTGAAGCTCACATTTAGATTTGCCTCCAATCATTCAACATTTTTCTTTATTACATTTTTCTTCATCTGTAATCCATTTAATTAGGATGTAAGGTTCAATGGAGAAGAAAATATATTTCGCTACTTCTTAGTGTGGTTTGTTGAGGAGAGGTGTGCTATTATTTTTCTATGCAAGCGGACTTATGATACTTGCTTGGTGGATGACAAAATGGAGAGAAAGAAAATCCAGTAGATTGAGTGCACTCTTTAGACTTAGTAAACAAGCTAATAACAACTACCCAGAATACCCTAAAGAGCTTAATGCTTGTACTATGACTTTACAGCACATCTTCCTGTATCTCTTTGCATTCACTGACTACTGTTTCACTGCAAATGAACACAAATCAATTCAAAAGATCCAGTTACAGGGTACGACAGCAATGTCAGCGATGAATGAGATACGACATGCCGGTGGTGGGGGTCTTGAGATCTGGCCTGCAAAAGCAAAGGTTGTAAATGAAATCCCGAATCTTCTGCGTGCTAAGATTGCTCCAGCGGTACCGTTCCAGCAATTAGCATAATGCTATTAGGCATAGATCAAAAGGTTCTTCAATATGACAGTCACTAATGGTGTCTAATACATGACTCTTAGCCTAGCGACAGCCATTAACATTTATATTATATGTTATCACATCATTAAGGCTAATGAATGCCTAATGAGTGTGCTTTGCGGACGAACGGTGCATCTCTTAGATTTACCATTTGGTTTCTGTATTAAGCCGTTAAACTGGAGAATTACATGGGCTGTGTTCTAAGATCTAGTAAGCAGTGTTGCCAATTGCTTTCAATTGAAAGAAACTAAAACTGGTAGCTAAATGTCACTAGATGACATCACAATGGCAAATTCACTGATCTACAGTATATAAAGATGAACGTAGATCAGTGGGCAAGATGAGAACTTAGATAAGGTTTGTCCAAGAAGTTGCTATATTTGTCCCTAAACTTTTGAAAAAAGTCTCAAAAGGGGCGGGGAAGTCGCTAAATCTAGCTACAAAGTAGCTAAATTGGCAACACTACTAGTAAGATGCCTACATAGGCAGCATTTTAAGGCATCACCGGGAAAGTGATTAAAAGGCTGTAGCAAAAGAGAAGCAGCACTACCATGCTGCCTTTCACTTTCGGTTTCGAAATCCTCAGACATTTTTCTTTACAAATCCTCATTTTGTACTTCTAATTCATGACCGCTGTTTTGTTTTGCTTTCTCCTCTGCGCTTCCGCGTTTGTCTCTTCTCACCGGAGCTTAAGCTACGCCTACATCCTACGTCATCCGCTGGACACCACTCTCTCGTGAACGCGCGTATGACAGTTAGCGGAAGCTTGAGATTACGGTTTATAAAGTTTTAAATATGGATATTTTTCTCACACACATGCATCGATTCGCTTCAGAAGGCCTTTATTAACCCCCTGGAGCCGTGAGGAGTACTTTTATGATGGATGAACGCCGTTTTTTGGACTTCAAAATCTCCCCCCATTCACTGCCATTATAAAGCTTGGAAGAGCCAGGACATTTTTTAATATAACGTTGATTGTATTTGTCTGAAAGAAGAAAGTCATATACACCTAGGATGGCTTGAGGGTGAGTAAATCATGGGGTGATTTTCATTTATGGGTGAACTATCCCTTTAAGTCTTTTCAGGTCATCCCTCTTTTTCTTCACAAAACCAAACTGGAATTTACATTTAGACAATTACAATGGAAGTGAACGGGGCCATTTTTTGATCAATTTAAAAGCAGAAATGTGAAGCTTAGAATTTTATAAAGGCACATTAATTATTCTTTTAAAACAGTCTTAGGGTTTTAGGGTTTAAGGCATTACAGTGTCAAACTGGATATAGCTTTTTAGTTAGCAAGTAGTCTCAGCCTCACGGACCGTTGGCTAAATATCTGATGCATATGGCACACAAAAGTGGAAAAACTTCAGGAGTTTGACGTCGTCATCGGATTGGTTGAATTATACAGGATTTCCGGGAGACGTGTGTGTCGCGTTCTTTAACGTTCCGAACATTTTTGAAAACGCCTGCCAGGGTGAAGATTTTCAAAAACTCCAGCTGCAGTGTTATCGTGTAGACAGCAAAACCGGAGATTTTGGCTTGTGACGTCGGTGCTCTCCGATTCTTCTACAATTGCTCCCCTGTTGGAGTCACTTTAATCCGATTTACTCTGTTGTTTCTTTTCTCTTAATTCATTTCCTGATCCGTCACTTCCTTCTGCATACCCCTGTCCATTCACATTCCAGTTGTTGCCAACCGCCTTGGGAGCCAATCGTCTCGCCATCCACTCCGCCACACCACTTTTTCAGGCTTCTGATTGGCCAACATGGCTTTACGGTTGAGATTATATCGCCACCTGTTGGTTTGACATGCTCTTGACAGTGCTTGATAGCATGCGTTTTCATGTGGACTGAGATTTTTTTTTTAAACGGAAGAAGGAAAAACTCAGTTTATAAAAATACCCGTGTACGTGTGGACATGGCTAGTCAAGCTGAAAGAGTTCAGGGACATCACAGTGCAATAGAAACTACTGGCCTTATTTAATGCAGGACTGAGAGAATCACCTTGAAGTAGAAGTCACAGAAGCACGAGAGACGTCTGTGTTTGATATAACTTCAAAGGTCTACTCCACTGCTAAAACGAATAAATGAATGGTTCTCTTTGTGAGGAATTGTGATTTATAAGTAATGAGATAAAAAAAACTGCTTTCGATTTGTTTGTTTTACCAGGTATTGATGGATGCAGGGCAGCAGGACGACATCGGTGAGGGTGAAATACAGCCCTTCTGCAAACACATGCTCCAGCTCTGGCAGATCTGTGGTCTTGACTTTCCTGATGTCAGAGCGCTCCCTGGTGGCGGGAGCAGAAACAGCATCTGCAGAGAGCTTCGCCAGAGCAGCAGAGAGCTCAACACCTGGATGTGATTCATTGGGATGACTCTCCATCTCTGTATTAGGGCCTTTTAGATGAGAATCGCTCTTCTTCTGCTGTTGTAGCTTCTGTCGGCGTATCTTGTCATCATTGTGGACTTTGACGGGTTCCCCTAACCTCTTCTCTAAGTTCAGGATCGCAGCAGGAAGTCGATACATCTGGTCTTCAGGGCTTCGTAAGTGTTCCTCCACTGCAGAGGGAATGTCCAGCTCACACAATCTAGTCCACTGACTCACCTGAGGAGCAAACGACAGTTAGATATCATTTAATAACAGATACATGTGATGTACGACCCATGAAATAATTGGACGGATAATGTGACATGTCTTTGTAAATTTCCAGAGTTTCATAAAATTAAGCAAACTAGAAATGCACTGATATTAAAATTGCAGCCAGTACTGAAAAGTCGGTAATTATTGACATGTTATGGTCAATAACTGATAAATGTTTGATATTACAAACTGATGCTATTTTCTTAAATTAAAATAAAGCACATAAAAAGGGTTATTTATTTATTTATGTTTTAACGCCATATCAGCAACGATGGCTATATTGAATTGCAATTGTAGGATGTTTAGTTTTCAAAGACTCAAGTGCTTGTAGGCAGGACATTGAATCTGTGCAAATTTTTTTTTTAAATGCTGTTGTTCCTTTTCTATTTGTTCTAGAGTTAAAAGTAATGCATAAGCTTCAGCTGTGAAAATTGAGCTTTGTCCAGGGATACTCTTGCCAAAACATTATGAACCAATCACTACTGCAGCAGATCCATGTCCATCTGTTTTTGATCCATCTGTGTACACTGGTACATGAGATGCTAAGCTGCATCTTATATCCAACAATACCTCCTGATAAACTTTTTTTTTTTGTACTGAGCCAGGTGCATCATAATAGTTGTTTTTTTAATACTCCAAGGCGATATAGGGCACAGATGTGTCGATTTTATGATATCCATCTTAGGCTGATGATACACAGGGCAACTTTTTGAGCAATGTTGCCGGGCAACTTTGACCTATGTTGCCATCAACGGGCAACCTGATGAGACACAGGGCCCACGACCGATCTAAAGTATCCAGATAGAAATTTGTTACCCATTCTCAATGGGAAAGTGCCCAAGCAACATTGCTCAAAAAGTTGCCCCATGTATCATCAGCCTTAGTGTCCAAGTTCTCCAAATGGGATTTTATATGGATTCCAAAAGGACTAATATACCTAGGTCTGGCTTCATATAGGTGTAAATTTTGAAGGTGGAAGACTGAAGGATATGCTGGATTACTTTTGTTATCTTAACTTGAGAGCCTGTTTCAATTTGTTATATAGTGAGGGTTCTCTTGCTTCTGTATACAAACTTTGAATTGGAGAGATCCTAAATGCTCCCAGAGCAAGTCTCAATCCTGCATGATGTACTGTGTCCAGCATTTTAATGTATGACTTCCTTGCAGATCCATAAACTATACTCCCATAGTCCATTTTTGATCCAACAAGGGTCCTATAAAGTCTCAGACGTACTTCACAATCTGCACCCCATTTAATATTTGCTAGCAAAAACATCTATTTCACAGCATATTAATATGAGGAATAAAGGACAGTTTCTTATCAAAATTAAGTCCTAAGAATTTTGTTGAGAACTTTTATAGGTTCCCTTTCCAAAAACAAAGCTCTGGATCTAGGTGCATAGATCATAAAAGACAAAAATGCATACATACAGTTTTTGACTTAGAAAATTTAAAACCATTTTGAACTGACCAATCATCCATTTTATTAATACATATTTGTATTTGCCTCTCAATTATATAATTATTTTTACCTTTATAACAAATACACACATCATCTACATATATGGAATATATTATACCCCATAATACTTACAATACTATTAATTTTAATACTAAAAAGAGTTACTGAAAATATACTTCCTTGGGGCACTCCTGATTCTTGTATGAGGGTCAAAGAAGTTAAGATGTACGCATCAAAAGAAATTTACTAAAGTGATTTTATGTCCATAGAAAGCACATTAAATGTAAGTAAAGTGTCTACTTTTAAGGTTTCAAATACGTTTTTGGAGAATAAAATGTCAAAATTTGGTTTAAATAATGTTACATTGTCATTCAGTGTAACATAATATTTAAGTAAAAATTCAAACAACATGCTTATTCTGACTTGTACATATTAAAATATATAAAAGAATAAGGGAGCATATAAACAGAAAATTTTAATTTTTAAATTTTTATTTTTTTGGAAAAACAGCCATTTAAAGCAGTATTGTTTTTATGCTTAAACCCTTTTTCGTCTTTGACCCATATGCAAATCAGATAACATTTCTTACTCGAACATGAAAAACTCTATTGGATAAAAATTTTTATATAAATATCCTATAAATACCCATATATTTATATAATCCTAACCCATATAAATACCCATATCAAACAAATCTTTTAAAATACCATACCTCCAGGTAGTATCATAAGCTTTTCTCATAAAAAGGATTAAATATTTGCTATTATTGATAACTATCCCTTTAAACTAGAGCTGGGTAATTGATATGAATCTTAAAACAAGCAGACACAGTTAAATATCAAATAATGACAGATACAATAAACTAAAAAAAAAAAAAAAAAACTGCTTATATCGGCCCATAATCAATATGGTACAGGCATATCATTCATATCAATTATTTTATCATTATTTACATACTATTACAGTATTTATTAATATTTTGAATTAGCTTTTTTATATTTTTTTTTATATTTTTCAGTTTTCATTTTAATTTACACCAGTCTTTTTCTCCTATGCTCACCAAGTCTACATTAATTTGATCAAAGATACAGTATAAACAGTAATATTGTTAAAAAATTATAACTGTTCTCTATTTTAATTGTAATTTATTCCTGAGATGCAAAGCTAAATTCTAATATGCTGATTTGATGCTGAAGAAGCATTTCTTCTTATTATGTTGTAAACAGTTTTTGCTGCTTAATATTTTTGTGGAATTTTGCGGTAGTGTATGTTTAACAATTTTGTATTTTGTTTTCATTATTTCAGTTTTTTTAATTTTTTTTATTTATTTCTATTTACCTTTAATTTATTTCAACTTAAACGAATTACATTTAACTTATTTAACTTGATTTAATTAAAATGATTATTTCAGTTAGTTGGCAAGGCAACATTTAAAAAAAAAAATTTAAGTTGACTTTTTTCCATCTAATATTTATATTTTATTTATTTTCAATTATTTTATTTCATTTTCCAAAAACAATGTTAATAGCTTTATTTAACAATAACAACACTGCAGTACATTACCATAAATGTAAAAAAAACTCCATATTTGTTTCACTGGTTCGTATTTTTCGCCCCAACCATCCGTATATATTTGAAGTTGTCGTTGGTTGACTGACACACAACAAAAACTTCCTGAAAATGTCTTTAAAAAATGCACTTATAAAAATTGCTTTAAGGTATTTTCATACCATAAATGTTGCTAATATCTGACAGACATGACTGAAATAGGTGTCTTGAGACATCACACCTGTCCCACTGACAGCCCAAGGCTCCAAAACAGCGAAAAAAGAAACAGGAGAGTAACCCAAGCTTGTTTTTGCTCTGTTATGCCTTATAGCTACTATCTGCAAACACTGAGCTCAAATGTCAACATTTGAATGTGTGATTCTGTGATGCTGAACTCCTGTCAAAACGCTTGTCACCCTACAGCTACACTATTGGTTCACACTTATGACTATGCAATGGGATTTTAAGCACTTGTCTTCTGGTTGTTTTTAATCTGAAATCTCACCTCGGCACAAGCCTTGAGACAGGTATTCTTGAAGCCCAAGAGTGACGCTACATCCCTGCGGCCTGGCATCAGCTGGCATGTTCTCTGAATGATGTGTCTCAGTACGACAGCCAGGCCGGCTCTGCAAAAGCAAGCGCCAGGCTCCAGCGCAGCCGGCAGACGGCACATCCTTACCAGCCCTGGCAGCTCGTCTCTCCTCACGTCAGAGACAGCCAGACCCCCGGGCACCAGACCTGACAGGGACGGCAAGATATCTGCTTGATCTGTGACCAGATAGACATGGAAAGATGAGCACTCTGTGTAGGACAGGAGGAAGAGGACGATAGAGGAGTGCAGGGGTAGAGACACGGCTCCGTTCACAGCGGACACCTCCAGATAGAGGCTCTCTCTGTCCTTTTGTGGCTCAGTTTGCTTCATTCTGACAGTCTAGTGGAGGGGAGACCACATGAAGAGCCTGAAATCTGCAACAGAGACGAAGGGACGCATTTAAAATGTAAAATCTGAACGTTTAGGCAGCATAATGCCAGGGACAGAATGTATAATGAGAGTGAATGACTGGAGAAGTTACAAACAGGTGCAGTGTTATGAACAAGAGGTCAAGTCATGTCAGTGAAAGTAAATGTGTTCAACTATGTAGCATGCATTTTTGGTGCAAAAAAAAACAACTGCACATAAATGTAAGTGGTCAAATAGTCTTTAAACATTTAGCTGTATTTTAAGTCACTGAGGATGCTATCTGACTCGGTTTCCCGTGGCGTCACGACATCACTAAGCACAACAATCAACGAAAATTAACAAACGAAAATAAAATGAGGAAAAGTGAAGTGTACCTACTCACAGTGTTTGAATTGAGCAAAACACCCACTAGGCAACACATGTGAAACTCTCCGTGTTACATTAAAAATAGTCCGACTATAAACCGACATCACGTTTGAGTTCCACCAACGCTTCTTCATCCCAGAGATCTCTAGAAACTCTGTTGCAGCTTCTATAATTGTTTTTATCTTGGCTTCCCACCAACACTTTACTTGACTTATGACGTTTATATTAACGAATAACATTTAAAACAACTTAAATTTTTTTTTCATATATACTGAGGCATTTATCATGTAACATTCACCGTGTTTAAAACTATGCTGCACAAAACTATTTTACATTTTTGACACATGATTTATCTTCTACCGAGCAGTGCGTGAATTATACTGTGAACCGTATTTAATTATTATTATTATTATTAATAATAAATTATTTTATAGCTATTTTTGTAGTAGCAATTTGAGGTGTTATTTTTACCGGCTTCCATGGTATCTGGCGCCCCAAGGTACCGTTGCTATGGTTACGTCCTCACGCCAAATAAATAAATAAATTTAACTTTTGTGGTCAATGAAACGTTTGAATCTACACCTGAAAAAGGTAATGTTTCCTCTTTAATATGTTATTTGAGTTATAAATCTGTCTATGACTGCTAATTTAATGCTGATTGGATTGATTGCATTAGAAATTAAAGAGTGTTAATTGTGACTTAAAGCTGGAATTATGGAGGAAGTTTTGCCCATGATGGGTTTTGTCTAGAGAATAATCCTGTTTCTAGATCATTCTAATTTTATTCTGAGATTATCTTTCTAGTTGCATCTAGTTCAGAGTCTATAGTCCAATTCAATGAACATATCTAAACTTGGAAAGCTGCTTTACAGTACAAAGGTACACTCTTTCTAACATGTATTTACTCAACTTCAGATCATTACATTGCTCATATACAGCTATCAGTTTACTTCGGAGAGGCATGGTGGTTTAGGCCCAGCCAAGGAGGCTTCCCATAAAACCTTCAAAGGGTGTGTATATAGTTCATAGTTTACAGCTGAAGATAATTGTATGGTTACACACACACACACACACATGTTGGTTTCACTATATCAGTGAGGTTATCTCATAGTGGAGATGATGTCTGCTAAACTCTAACCTTAAACCACAAACCTGTTGATATCAGACTTAAAGTTTAAAAAAAAAATGTAATTTAAACATCTTTTAAATAGAGAGAATTGCTTCAAATGTCCTTCAAATTTCACTTTTTTGGCACATTTCACTATATTTTTGAGGACATTTTCAAAATTTCTAAGTGTACTAAAAATGTTACTACAAGTATTTAATTAGTAAACTATCTGTATACCTATAAGTTCACTTTTAGTATAGTTGCAGTACAAGCTAAAAATATTGTTGTAAACTAGTTTACTACTGTTATACTTAAAGTATACTTAAAAGTATAGTTTTATATACTAGAAAGTGGGCCAATTTAGTCCCAAGGAGTATTGAAATAGTACACTTACAAGTATACTACTAGTACACTGATATTTGTATACTTGCTACATAAAGTATACTTAAAAATATACTTGAACTTTACTTAAGTATACTTACTCAAATAAACTTGAAGTATACTACTTTTTGGTAAGGGAATGCAAGTTCAAAAACACAAGTGCATGAGTGTGCCTGCAAGGGATAATATAATCAACTCAGAGCACGAGGAGAAAAGCCTTTCTCTCTCATCTCTGTAAGTGTGAGGCGGGGTCTCTTCGGTTTTTTCTGTCCTTCCCTTTGATGCTGAATTTAACCTTTGCATGAGCTGGGAGCGGGGATGCTCAACAGGCCTCGCAACTATATCATTACCAATTTGTTTGCGACCGGGCACCACTGCTCCCTGGGAGAAAAATACAGGCTTGGTCTGGAGGCAGGAGGCAGGGCTGGAAATAGCACGGAGCGGAGCCAGCCAAGCCATCCATTTACTGTCTCTGGGAGCATGTGGAAGAGATTTTCCCCTGCCAGGTCTCCACCACAAGCATCACCATTAGAGTGCAGGGTGGAGACTGGGAAAACATGCCCCTCTAAACGTGGTTGTACGAAGAGAAGTTTCAGAGACGAGTGTGGGACCGATAGAGCTCAGTTCTGCATGTAGAGCTGCGGGACACAACAGGCAAGTGCTTTTGAATTGGAGAAATCTCTCTTTAAAGCTTTTTGTGAGAACGATTTGCATGGAAAAAAAACTCTTTTAGTCGGTTTTGATCTGTAATTTAGTTGCATCCACATAATGTAATAGTACAAAAGTTATGAGAGATAATGTTATTTTTTGTCTTGTTGCAGTACAGTGAACTAATTTTGTGTACAATACAATCCATTCAAAGCAGATTTGTAATAAGAACTAATTTCCAATGTAATTATATTTCAGCCTAAATTGATTTGGAGGAAATCAATGCTTTCATGTTGAGTGATTTGTACAATCCATCATTCGTTCTGCGTCCATCCCGAAGCTCTGTTTACTGTTTGTAAATATTGTATGCCGCTGTAATGAGGGTTATTGAGATGCACTTTGGGTGTGATGGAGCAGAGATGTTCTCAGACCTGAAAGCTTTCAGATAAATAGAAAAGGCCGTTCCTGAAATGCTCTTGTTTCTGGGTTGAGAATTCACTGCTGGACTCAAACCTGAACATGGATGTTTTTTTTCTGTGTGGCTTTTCTCTAGATGGCATTTTGTAGTTGTGTCAGATGTTTCAGCTTTTAAATTATATGCTTTGCTTTATTTGAATGCATTGAGCACATAAAAGAGGGTCAGAGGACGTTTCGTATATAGATGAAAGATCTCTAGCCAAAAGACTATAATAAAATATAATAAGTGTATTCAATCATACCAATACTTGCCTAATTTATCATATAATAAAACTGAACATTTTGAATGTCAATTTTCATGGTGAATCTTGATAAATATTGTGAATTATTTTTTTTTTTTACAGAAACATTTGATTTGCTGTCATGAAATTGAATTTAAGTATATCAGTATATCAGCCATTTGACCTTTAAAATGTAACAGTTTACTATTTTAATGTGCTTCCGTTTTCTTTTTTTAAAAGACGGTTCCAGCCACATCATATGAGAGCTGAAAACACAGGCCTTTCATAATCACCGCAGAGGAGAGTAACCTACAGTGCCTTACAGGAGAGAGTCTTAGCAGGAAGTCAGTCGTTTGTGGGTAGTTGTGGGTACTCATGGCATCGTCAGACCACCAAGGAAACAAGGACCCCACAAACACAGATGGGACGCCGTCCCCTGGCACATCTTGCCCCGTCCACAGCCACGCTGCTGAAGAAGCGAAGCGGAACAGCTTGAGGAAAGCCCTGGTCAGACATCGAGACTATGTCAAAATCTCCGTGCCTGAAGGAAAGGGCAACCGATTGCCGTCGGAATGGTGGAAGACGTTCATCGCTTTGTTTTATGCTGTTTTGAACCTGGTTTTGACCACGGTTATAATCACAGTGGTCCATGAGAGAGTACCACCCAAGGAGAGCAGCCCACCTCTGCCGGATAAGTTCTTTGACTATATAGACCGCGTGCAGTGGGCGTTTACAGTGACTGAGGTCAATGGAATGGTTCTGGTGTCTATATGGTCCATTCAGTTGCTCTTTCACAGATACAAGTAAGAGGCATCACTCAACATTATACTGATGACACTGTAGCCTGTTAATCAGCTCTGTTAGATTACATTTAATGGATTGTTGGGGTTATGTTTAAGATGATGTTGAGCAAGGTGAATGAATAGTCTTGAGGGCAGTTATAAAAATTCATTTTGCATTGATGAAATAAATCTAATGAATATTACCAACTTTATGGCATAAAAACGGTACAAAATTAAAGCTTGAAACTCTTGAAAAAGTCACTTGTAATAGGATCTTAACCTTCCGAAAATGTTGTTCATCAATTTCAGGTTGTCATACAAAATATCATTTATGTACTTTATATGAGGTTTAGCATTGATAAATGAATAAATAAACAAACAAACAAATAAATAAATGGGAATGGGAAATTTACATTTCTCATAAATTAAAAAAAAAAGGTTCCATCATTTTTTTATAACTTTGGTAAGTGGGTTAAATGTTTGATCTTGTTGAATTGTCAACATTACAATTTTAAAAACGGAATTTTCAAAATGGAAAATTTAATTATTTACTTGTCTTACTGCTGTCCTACCAGAAAGGGTCCAACTGACGTTACTTCTTACATATTTTTTGTAATATTGCACAGCTACATATTAACAACTTACAAATAAAAACAACAACAACAACAACAAATAATAACCATTTCAACAGATTGAACAAAATTATAACAAGATGTGTGACTATTATCAAATCTAATAATCAAATCTAATAGTTCTCATTCCAAAGAACATGCGATTTGTACCCTAGTTATTCTCTATTCATGGATAGAGCATTATAAAAAGGCGTTGTAAGCTCAGCAATCTCAACCTAACCCAAATCTGTTTAATGATGACAAAAATTTACTTTTTTATTTTTCTGTTCCGTATAGGGCTATTATAGCAAGACGATATTTCTTCCTTTTGGGCACATTGTACATGTATAGATGCATAACCATGTACGTCACCACTCTACCCGTGCCTGGCATGCACATGGTCTGTGCACCAAAGGTAAATGCCGATTTAAAAATATATATATTTCAGCGGTTCCTCTTTGTCATGATCCCCTCAGGATCTTACACCTAGATAATGTAAGATAAGCAAATGCATTTGGCTTTTAGATCTGTAATATCCTCTGCCTTCCTCAAGACAAATATTGCAGGCTTTACAAAGGGCTCAGATTCTATCAGTTTATGGAATGATTTTTCAATTCACGATTCATGTCACCAACCACTCATCTTTCAACATTCAATATCCTCACTCATTTCTTCTTTCCTGCATCTCTCATTCAGCTCCAAGGAGATTCCCAGGCAAAGCTGCAGCGTGTTCTGCAGTTGCTCTCTGGTGGTGGATTATCAATCACTGGATCTCATCTGTTGTGCGGCGACTTCCTCTACAGCGGCCACACTGTCATTCTCACACTCACGTACCTCTTCCTCAAGGAGTGTATGTCACTTTCTCAGATGGCTGACTTTATTTTAAGACACAAATACAAAGACTGTCTGCTAATTACAGACTTGAGGTCACTGTAAGCAATTTTAGATTCTGTTTTTAGCCATTCAGAAGACACTGAGCCACTTTCTGACAATTCGTTTTGCATGTTCAAAGAGCAACCCATTATGATTCATAACTGATTCTTTGTTTCTCTCTAGATTCTCCTCGTTCTTTCTGGTGGTACCATCTTCTGTGTTGGTTAACGGCTGCTGTGGGTGCCGTGTGTATCCTGGTGGCCCATGAGCACTACAGTGTGGATGTGGTGGTGGCGTATTTCATCACCACCCGACTGTTCTACTGGTATCACACTATGGCTAATCTGCAGGTACATTCATCAGTAACATGAAACAATAGAAATGCTTGAATAAGGCTTTTATTAAATAAGGATTTTGGTGGTCTTCCTGTAATCTATTTCCAAGTAAAAAAGGCAATCTGGGTGGAACATATCAGATGACGTCAATAATATTTTTGTCCATTTTTACAGATGAGAAAACATAACTTGTAGGAGTGTGTTGTTGAACTATTGTTAAGGGGATTTTTATTATTTTTTTGTTTGTTTTTGATAGAAGTCTTTTATGTTCACCAAGGCTGCATATATTTGATCTAAAATACAGTAAAATAGTAATATTGTGAAATATTATAATAATTTAAAATACCTGTTTTCTATTGTAATATATTTTAAAATGTTATTTATTGCTGTGATGCAAAGCTGGCACTGTAAAAAAAATTCTGTCGTTTTTCTGTAAAATACAGAAAAACTGTAAACACATTTACGGCCAAAAACTGTAAATTTTACAGTATAAAACTGTAATTTACAAACAAGAAAATTTGAATGTAAACCAGTAAATTCAACAATGCACACTGCTATTAAAATCTGTTTTGTAACATACTGACAACCACCATAATAATGCAGTTGGTAAAAGAGAAAGCCACATGAAGAATCAAAGCTCATCACAAGTAGCTTCGCCACAAGCAGAAGTATATACTAATATATAGAAGGTGCACAGAGTCATTCATGGAAACACAAAACACCATCATGGTAACACACATGATACTTAAATAATGCATTAAACTTTCATTAAACAACAGAAGATGTAACATAAAGCCCAAATATACATAACTAATAACAAAAACTATTAAAAAAACATGATTATTTAAACAAATACCTTCAAATGTGGAGTGTCATGCAGGGAATTCTGGGAATATCAGTTTACAGTTTTTGACTGTAAATTATACATTGATTTATTATTTTTACTTCTAAAAACTGTAAAATTAACAGCATTTTACTGTAAAATTACATGAAATGTCTGGTTAGATATTTTACAGTTTTTCCCTGTATATAGTACGGGAACTTACTGTTAACCTATTAACAGTTTTTTTCAGTAGCGTTTTTACAAAATTTTACAGTTAAAATTACACTTATTTTTTACAGTGTGAATTTTCAGCATCATTACTCCAGTCTTCAGTGTCACATGATCCTTCAGAAATCATTCTAATATGAGACTTTGGACTGGTGTCTGTGTCCTGAAGTGGCTCCAAGGCTTCTGTCCTCAATGATAACAGTGATTTTTATGAAATTACTAAATTGCTTTGGAACCAAAATATCATATCAAATTTCGCAGAACTGCTTTTTGTCATTTAATCTCTCAACTGCAGTGCATTTATATCCTGTGCATTGCCACTTCTGTTTTTAGAAAACCAGAAGTAGTCAGTCATCTGACCATGCATAACAATGTTCTGTCTTTTTATTTGAATTCATCCTAATTATGATTTTAATTAATATTTTCATGTTTTCTCCAGACTTTAAAGTGTTCTCCGAACAACTACCTCACTCATACATGGTGGAACCCCGTTTTTAACTTCTTTGAGAGGAACATTCAGACCCAAGTGCCCTGTTCTTTCTGCTGGCCGATCACATGGCCGCCTGCCTGTCTGAAGAACCCCTGTAAGAAATATTCCATGGTGCAGTGACGTCGTGAATTCATCACAATGCCCAGACCAACATGTGGAAATGTTTTATATTTCGCTTGTGGCTATCTCAGTGTTTACACCATACCAAAGACCAAAGACTGTTTGGCTATTGTTGCTAATTACATCTCTTATAACACTGGGCCAAACAGTTCATGATAATCAAAATACTGTAAAACTCAATACTATTTGACAAGTCATTGTTGATATTTTTACATTCAAGTATATTCAGTCAGTGTGCGGCCTTTTAAATAAACACTTTTGAAAGTATCTGAAGGGCCTACTGAAAGTGTTATGTTAGAAAAGGATGGATTTTTGGAAAATCTCTCGCTTTCTGTCAAAACAGATCTATTTGTTTGTGCATGCTTCTTAGTTGTCATATTTTTCCTTGTCTGTTTATTTAATTGTCATCTAAACATATGTTTGTCATAAAAGGTGTTGTTTAACAGGGTTTCGTTAATTTTATACACAATGTTATATTAGAAATGCATGCATTCGTTTTCTAATGATTCACGCCAACTGTTATTTTCAGTTCTTAAAAACATAATGACATTTTATGGAAATAAATGGTTTACAATAACACCTAGTGCACCTCATGTAGTATGAATTTTTTAAACACTTCTTTATCAAAATGTTTATGGAATTACCAAGGTTACAAAAAGGAAACGAATGCATAACTCTGAAGATGTGCACAAACTACACATTTTTAAATGGTCACAATATTTATTTAACTGCTTATTTATTTATCTCACATGATTCTTAAGATGATGGTGATGATTGTAATTATTATTATAATTATATAACTATTAAAATACATAAAATGCATCATTTAAAAAAACTGAAACTTAAGTTATAAATGTATAAATACATTTATAAACGGTTATACTAGTTAACTAAAACTGAAACTAAAATTCAAAACATTTCCATTACTAGAAATAAATTAACTAAATGTGATTTAGTTTAACTTAATGTACTAAATTAACAAAAAAAATAAATACAATTTCAAACACACACACGCAAGCTTGTGTCTGCTTCCTCTTATTGGATCAGTTGACCCCACCCATTAGTTTTCGTCATCGGTTGATTCACCAATCAACTCTCAGCATGGCGTGCTCCTCTCAGCCAATGAAAAATACAAAAACACTCTACCCATGCTGCCGCTCCAGCAACAGAGGAAGAAAATGTGTTTGATCAGTAGATAGCAAGTATTGATCAGGAGGAACTATGCGTCTGTTTTAGGAGACAGTGGATTTGGTAAGTGCGCGAGTCATGGACGCTTCCCTGTCTTTGCTGTGGCAGTGTGTGTTCTCGCCTGCGAATATTGTGGGGTTGGTTGCGTTTGTGCTTCTTTTCTATGTGCTGCAACAGTATGAGAGGCATCGAAGATACGCGAACATCCCTCCGGGTCCAAAGCCATGGCCCATCGTGGGCAACTTCGGGGGCTTCCTTGTGCCTTCGTTTATTGTAAGACGACTTGCAAAGTATCGTAAAGAGTTTGCAAAGATGGCCTCGAATCCGCTGTCACCTCAGGCTGGACTCCTGGAGATGTCCAAACTCTATGGGAACATATTCAGCATTTTTGTTGGGCCTCAGCTTATGGTCGTGCTGACAGGATATGAAACTGTCCGGGACGCGATGTTAAACCATCCAGAGGTCTTCTCTGACAGACCACAAATACCGCTCGTAACTATTATCACCAAGAGGAAAGGTAAGATAAGCAGTCATTGTTAATGATTGCTGCATGCCATGATAATAGATCAGCGTAGATTAGAGCAGAACAGAACAGAATAGAACAGAATAGTACAGAACAGAAAAATGCAGTATTGAAGAGAATAGAACAGTAGAAGAGACTGACTCCGAATAGAATAGAACAAAGTAGGCTACAATAGACTGGAGCAGATTAGAATAATGTAGAATTGAATAGAATAGAACAGTAGAAGAGACTGACACAAAATAGAATAGGACATAATAAAAAAAACTGCAGAATGGAACGGAATAGAACATGGTATAACAGACTGGCACAGAATGGAAAAGAATAGGACAGAGTATAATAGACTAAAGCATAATAGAATAGAACAGAATATTATAGAATTGAACAGAACAGCAGAAGAGACTGACTCAGAATAGAATAGAATCAGACAAAGCAGAATGGAAAATAATAGACTAGAACAGTAAAATAGACTGGAGCAGAATAGAATAGAATAATGTAGAATTGAACAGAAAACAACAGAAGATACTGATGCCAGAATAGAATAAAATGGGGAAGAATGAAATAGAACAGTAGAAGAGACAGACACGGAATAGAATAGAACAGAATAAAACAGTAGAATGTAACTGAATAGAATCAAATTAAACAGTAGACTGGAGCAGAATAGAACAGTGATATATATGATAATGGTGCAGAACAAAACAACTGAAAAGGACAATAGAGAAATGAAAAACAAAATAATAAAGCAGAATAGAATTGAACAAAACAGAATAGGTAACAGTAGAATAAAATAACAGAATAGAATGTCAGAGCCTGGTTTCAGAAATTTTAACTTACATTTATAAGTTAAATGACCAAATCTAAAAGTGAAGCTTTGTATGTTTGAACCTAATGTTGTTCACAGGGATTGTGTTTGCGCCCTATGGTCCTTTGTGGAGGACAAACCGTAAGTTCTGTCACAGCACTCTGCGCAGCTTTGGCTTTGGCAAGCCGAGTCTGGAGCCTTGCATCTATGAAGGCCTGACCATGATTAAAACAGAACTGCAGAGCCTCATCGAAAAAGCAGGGCCTTCTGGTATTGATCTGACTCCTCTCATCAGCAGTGCTGTCTCCAACGTCATCTCCTCCATGAGTCTGGGTCAGCGTTTCCATCACCAGGACCAGGAGTTCCGCACCATGCTGGATCTCATGTCTCACGGGATGGAGATTAGCGTCAGCACATCCATTTTGTTGGTCAACGTCTTTCCCTGGCTCTACTACCTGCCCTGCGGGGCTTTCAAAGAACTGCGGCGTGCGGAGATCGACATCACAGCCTTCCTGAAGAAGATTATAGCGAGGCACCGGGCCACGCTGGATCCAGAGAATCCCAGGGATTTCATAGACATGTATCTGGTGGAGATGCTGGCCCAGCAAATGGGCGATAATTCAGAAGAGAGCTTGTTCTCAGAGGACGATCTCTTATACATTATAGGAGACCTCTTTATTGCAGGCACTCATACTACCACAAATAGTGTGCTGTGGAGTATTCTCTATATGTCCTTGTACCCTGATGTGCAAGGTACGTTCACCCCAGCACTGTATAATGTAATTTACAAATGTCTAAAGGTTTGATTTCTGGTGATACATGACATTTTTGTTTGATGACCCTTCAGAGAAGGTTCAGCAGGAGATTGATGCGGTGGTGGGATCTGAGAGAGTCCCATCTGTGACCGATAAGGGCAGTTTGCCGTACACAGAAGCCACCATTATGGAGGTGCAGAGGATGACTGTAGTGGTTCCTCTGTCCATACCTCACATGGCCTCGGAAACCACAGGTGAGGTCAGGCCTTTGGCAGAGAAATACACAAGTCATGCAAATTTGCTACAGCACTATTTTACGGGAAGAATCTCATGCAAGTTGTGAATAAAACTGAACCAGGTCAACTTGAACTTTACCATAATCCACATATTGGTACTACAAGGTAGATAACAGTCAGACTTTAACCTGAATCTGTATTTTTTATATTAAATCAAAAGGGTGTACAAATATTACGACTGTACAAATACTTTGAGAGGACACATTAAAAAAGCACAAACAAATGAATATTTCAGCTACATTTGTCTCTTCCCAGAGTTCCGTGGATACACTATTCCTAAAGGAACAGTTATCATCCCAAACCTCTGGTCAGTACACAGGGATCCCACCGTGTGGGAAAATCCTGATGACTTTAATCCAGACCGATTTCTGGATGAACAGGGAAAACTTCTCAGGAAAGATTGTTTTATCCCATTTGGAATAGGTATGTTTTTAGAAATCATGTAGTTGGAAAACCTGCAATTTAAAGGGGTCCTATTATGCTTTTTCACTTTTTCAACTTTAAGTACTTTGTCCGCTTCTGCAATAAACACATATCAACAGGTCTGAAAGGTCGTCGCAAAGGAGGAAACCACGTGATCACATCAGCAAGTCAGCCAAGCTTGCTCCGGTTCTCGCCGACATGGCATTCATCACGCGCCAGAACATCAGGAGCCTCTCATCTTCTGCGGCTCTACGCGCTGCAATTAAACATGTCACAGTTATCGGAGGCGGGCTGATGGGGGCTGGCATCGCACAGGTAACGGAAAATAAATATGACTAGTTGACTACATATATATGTATCTGCTAAGAACTAGTCTATTGCCTTGCTAGGCTAAAAGCTAAGTGCTATCACACAGTTATTGATAAAGATCATTCTTTTAATAGTTTCAGGGTGCATATAGTTGCATTGCGAAGACCATGATGTGTGAATGAATCTTGGCCAAGTTGTTGCAAACACAGTGTCTTATAACTGAACGTCTTATAACTTCATGTCAAAGAATGACCTTTCACTCGCTTATCCAGCATACAGTTAAGGTTTGTTGCATTCCTATCGTTTCTGTGTATATAAAACATGTACTGAATATGTATGAACTTTATATTGCATAATACATCTTTTTTTAAACTTTAAAAATTTAAATTCTGTCATTATTACTTACACCCATGTTCCAAATCCATGTTTTTCTTTCTTCTGTGGAACACAAAAAAGGGCATGTTGAAAAATGTTGGCAACCAAACCATTTTGGTACCCATTGACTTCTATTGTATGGGCAAAAAAACAACACTGAGACACTCATACACTATATTCCACAGAAGAAAGAAAGTCATACCGGTTTGGAAGGACATGAGGGTTAGTAAATGATGACTGAATGTTTATTTTTAGGTGGACTATACCCTGAATTACACTTTCCAGTGTTTCTCATTGAAGTGGTCACTGAACGAGTTGCTGTCTACATCACAACAACTGACTTCGACAATGACATTGTGCGCTTCATTCATTTCTTTATTTTCCAGGTTGCTGCATCCACAGGACATTCAGTGGTGCTGGTGGACACATCTGAGGACATACTGAAGAAATCTACAAAGGGTATTGAGGCTAGTCTGAAGAGAGTGGCGAAGAAGAAATTTGCAGAAAAGCCTGAGGTTAGTTTGACAGCACAGACATGAACTGAAGTCACAAAGATTTAAGGACTAATCGTCCTCTATCGTTCATTCAGTCATGGAAAGATAACTGTGGCTCACGTTCTCTAGGATGGAGAGGCCTTCGTTCAGAAAGTCCTGAAGAACATCTCTACTAGCACAGATGCTGTGTCTGTAGTTCAGGGCACTGATCTTGTGGTGGAAGCTATTGTGGAAAACCTAAAAGTCAAACAAGATCTGTTTGGAGCTCTGGACAAAGCGGCCCCAGAGTAGGAAATACACTTTTTTTTTTTTTTTTTTTCTCTTCATATTCACATAAAACATTATACTCTATAATTGTAAATATTATATTTAATAATATTTCATTATTATTATTATTATTATATTACAGGTGCATCTCAATAAATTAGAATAAATTGCCGTGGAAAAGTTCATTTATTTCAGTAATTCAACTCAAATTGTGAAACTCATGTATT